CAGCTCGTGCCACGTGTCTCCTTTCCTTGCCGCAGTGGAGCAAGAGCCACGTGGCAGAGGGCAGCCCTGTGGCTCCCTGGCTCCGATGCTCCTGGGCCTTGGAGGACCAAAATCACGGCTTGGAAGACCAAAATCACGGCTTCTGCCCACCGTGATGCTGGAGGGATGGAGACGTGGCGGGACGTCGCCTGCAGACCTGGCCGGGGAAAGCACGGGCGCCGTGGCCGGGGGATGCGGAAAGAGCAAGCGGATAACGGGGCTGGCATGGGAAGAGCGGCGACGTCCCCCCCGCGCTCCCCTTCCCTGTCCCCGTGTGACCGGCACGGCGAGCGGGAGCCGGGAAAGCCGCTTGGAGCGGGCCCAGGATTCCCCGGCCACGAGGAAGGAAACGCCGTGTTGGCCAAGGAATGGGCAGCGCAGCACGGCCAGGGCAGCGCTCACATCTGAATGCACTAAAAAGCGGGGAAAAAATGGGTTAATTTCCCATATTTTATTTATTTTTCTCAGTGCTCGGGGGAAACGATGCCCTGGTGCTGGCCGGGCTTCGCCGTGGCGGGGGGGACGGCGTTTGCAGCCGCCCGCTGCCCCGCGCGCCTTTTATCTGTGCTCTGTTAAATGATCTCAAATATGTGATATGATAAAGACAAACAAACACCCGTTCAATTTAGTTCACCCTAATGCCAGACTCTACTTTTACCGAAGTAATTAAGATTAATGCAGCTGATAATTTGGGAAGCATTCTTAAATGTACCCTTCTGGCAGCATCTAACATATAATTTTACCTTAGAAGATTTATCGGAGCACTTAGGTAACAGATAGTTCCTCAGCAAACAGGAGCATTTAGAAGGAAAATGAAAGATTAATATTTCTTAAATAAATGTCAAAATAAGTCATTCTTTATTGCAGCCCTACAAAGCTGGTGCTGTCGCTCCCAGCCCCTCCGCTGATTCCCGGGGGAGATTAAAAGCCGTGCGGAGCCGGAGCGGGAGCAGGGCAGGGACTCGCCTGTCACCCTCGCCTGGTTCTGAAGGAAACTGGACCCTGGGGACTTGGGAAGGGCGAGCGTGGCCCCCGAGGTGCCCACGTTGGGGAGAGTCACAAGCACCATGTGCTCGGGGCCGTGCGCCCACGACCTTCCTCCCGCCGGAGGAGGAGCGCGGTCCTTTGCTTTCCATGCCTGAAACGTGCACATATCGCACGCTGTTTATCCTCAGCCGCGTTATTTCCTTTGGAAAAGGCCCCGCTGGTGCTGGCTGAGGCCGGGGATGCGAGCGGAGCGGTCCGGGTGGATTGGCACCCGGTGGCTGCAAAGCGCATGGGCTCCGAGTCGCCCCGGCAGCTCCCGGGAATGACGGGATCGGCTTTGCCAGGCCGCCTTGATCTGTCCAGGCAGTGTGGCCCTGCAGCGAGTGTCCTGCCGCGGGACTGAGCTGTTTCCACATCTTCTCCATCCAGGCAGCGCGGGGCTTCCCGGGACGCGGTGCCCGGTGCTCCCTGCAAACCGCGCTCCTTGCGCCGCGGGGGCTCAGGTCGCCTCTCGGTGTGAGCTCGTTTCACATGAGCAGCCCGAGCAGGATTAGAGCTGTTGGCAAAACTCTGGATCCCAAGCAAAAGCTGGATCCCCCCAGCTTGGAACTTCCAAGCTGCCGAGATATGGAACATCAATTCTGGGCCATGATGAGCAAAAATGAACTTTTTGCATCACCTTCCGACTTCTCCACTGGCTGGAAAAACCTGCTGGAAGCAACCTCTGCCCGTGGATCCTGCCCCTGCAGCCAGGGCAAGCCATCCCAAAGGGATTGCGGGTGCCCGTGTGCTCCATGACAGCATTTCCAACCTGGCAATGCATTCGTGCCGGACAGGGATTAAGAGATGGTCCTGGGTTCGTCCATTTGGGATGTTAACTCTTGGGAAGCACCGAGCATCTCCACTGAGCCCGTCGCCTCCTCGCGCTCCCAGAGGGGATGGGAAATTCCCATTGGCTTCGGGAGGACTTTGGCTCTCAGGAAGCGGTGCTTACAGGCTCGGGGAGCTGTAGCGATGCTTTTTGGGGCCAGACCTCCTTTTTTCTTCACCCAGAGCCTCTACGAGCCGCGGTGGCGGCTGCCGAGCCAAGCGCAGATTCCTGACATGCTTCTCCCTTTCCTTTGCAGCCAAGAAATCCCAGTTTCACGGGAGGTGGAAGCGAGCGGCGGCAGTAGCTGAGCGGCGCAGGGGTGCCAAGGTACGGGCCGGCTCACGGCGCGGGATCCCGGGCTCTTCCCGCAGGAACAGTCCCTGCCAGGAGAACCTAAACAGACACTACGCATTGCGGATGGGCCGGAGCGAGCCTTCTCGGGGCCGCCGGGCAGATGGAGAGCTGAGTCACCGCGATTAAGAGCCTTGCCCAAGGTCCACGAGTTGGAGCTCCCAAATCCCCCGGCAAGGCCGCCCGCCGCCTCCTGCGTGCAGATGCCCGGGATTTCAGCAGCGCCCTGCGCAGCCCGGCCGGGCGGGAAGGCGACGGGAGCCGCGCTCGGAGCGTGCCGGCCTCCCAGCCCTCCTCCTGCTCTGCTCCCGCAGCTGGCGGCCTATTTCTTTTATTCTTTTTTTATTTGCATTTTGCACAGCTGTTTGGCCCAGCAGCGCCACCGCTTCATAAATATGATTTTTTTTTAAACATACCCTTACGTTGGCCCCATCCCTTCTCATCTGGCACCAGGTGAGGGAAGAGCAAAAAAGCAGGTGGAGAGGAAAAAAGGGAAAAAAAAAAACCCAAATGGTCCCTATTTCCATTTTCTTCTGCTTTCCCCATCCCCTGAGGGGGAAGCAGTGTTGGAGCTGCATCAGGAAGCAGAGCAGATGCAGCCTGGGGCCTATTTAAAAGAAATAAAATGAATTAGGAAGCTGTCTGAGCGCGGCCGCAGAGCCGGCGCTGTCACCGCCTCTCCGCAGCCGCCGTGGCTTCGCTCCTCGGATCCCGAGCGCCTCCAAAAGCCGCTGCCAGCGCAGGAAGCCCAGGGTTTATTTCTCCTGGCACCAGGCAATAATGCAGCAGCTCAGGCGGCCCTCGCCATGCAAATGCTGCAGCTTTTAGGATACACAAATGAGCCTTCCCCTCAAAAACGGCCCCTTTATGTGGCTGAAAGAGCACAACTGTGATAATGTAGCTAGTGCTGGCCTTGGTTATTTTATCTTGGCCGGGAGCCTTTGCAAGTTTAAACAGCAGTAAACAGGCTTTGCAGCGGCGGCGCGGGGCGGCATAAGTGGCGCATTGTCCCGGCGCCCGCTCCGTGCGTGCCAACGGGCCGCGTGTTGGCTTTGGCCGGCGCGCCGGGGGCAAGGGCGATAGGGTCGGGCCCTATCGGCTCCGGATTCGTTTCACCCAGTGGGGTGTGAAACCGCGGCGGAATTGGAGACCGTCGGCTCCCTGGTTGGGAGGCAGCAAAGCGAGCGCGGCCCCGGCTCGCTGCACGCGCCGGCTGCCGCCGGGCATCCCGCTGAGCGCTGCCTGGGAGCCCCTCTGCGTCTGCACGTATAGATCTGCCTATAGACACGTTGCAATGGGTTCTGTTGCTGCTGCAGCGGGTCTGAGCGCTGCGTGCGTGTCCCGGGCGCTGGGAATGCCGCGGCACGTGCAACGCTGCCTCGCTCCTGCCGAGGGTGCAGGGATGCCGCTGAGGTGCAGAGCTCCCAAATCCTTACACCAGCTCCGTTAGAGCTGCAGCTCCCCTCGTCTCCTTGCAGAATTCCTCATTTTCTCTCCAGGCCTTTCTAAACGGCTGGTCGGGGCAGTGTGGAGCAGGCACTGGCGTAAAGGGAAACCAGGACAGATTAGTTGTGACAGTCAATGCCACACAAATGAGCTAATTTTCACAATTTATTTGCAGCCTGGTGGCGTCCCCTGCTCTTTGCCGCTTGTCTCTTGCTATTGGCAAGGATTTCTTGTTCCCTTGCTGCTGTGTGGGGCTTGCAGGCACCAGAGAGGCATTTTTAGGGAGGTGGGAGAAAGAAACCTGCTTTGTTTCCAGGAGACTTTTAAAAGGAAAATGTCGTAAAGTAAAGTAAAGTAAAGTAAAGTAAAGTAAAGTAAAGTAAAGTAAAGTAAAGTAAAATAAAATAAAATAAAATAAAATAAAATAAAATAAAATAAAATAAAATAAAATAAAATAAAATAAAATAAAATAAAATAAAATAAAATAAAANAAAATAAAATAAAATAAAATAAAATAAAATAAAATAAAATAAAATAAAATAAAATAAAATAAAATAAAATAAAATAAAATAAAATAAAATAAAATGCATGTGGGGGCTCCCAGCATCGCTGGCAGCCTCTCTGGGCCTTCTGGCCTGGTGGTGTGGCAAGAGGAGATCCCTTCCGGATCCCTGCCCTCCATCTCCAATCCAGAGCTTGGTTCTCCAGTTCCAAGTGCAGCTGGTGGCCCCAAGCTGCCCCTGCCTTGTGCATGCTCCAAAATCTTCCCAAATCCCACAGCAGACCTGGACCTTGGAGAGAGAGCAGGGAGAAGGGCAGCGTGATCCTCCCTCCCGGGACGCACTCGGAGCCCGTCCCGACAGTCATTCCCAGTAATCCGTAGGTGGAGCTCTTCTGTCATCATTTTTTTTTTCTGCTTATGTTGCTGAGAAGTCCCCAGAAATAGCTTCCCGGGGAAAAAAAGCGCTTCCATCAGCAAATTCTGCCTAGGGCAAAATGCTCCGCGTGGCTTTTGGAGCGCCGAAAGCCGGAGCACTCCTGCTCCGGCCGCCCCAGCTCCCAACCTCTCCAGTTTCTCCCAGAAAAACCTCTCTGGTCTCTCCGGCTGCAGGTCCCGGCGGGAAGATGAGGCGAATTCCCGGTGCCGCCGTCCGTCCGGCCCTGCCCAGCGCCCGGGATGGCAGCGGGATGCGGCGGCCCCTGTAACGCGGCCGCGTCCTGGCGCCTGCCCCCGAGGACCATGCCCGTGGTGAGGACCATGCTCGGGGAGCCCCGCGCTTTCTAGGGAGCCCCATCCCTCGGGATCATGACTGGAGAGACCCAGCATGTTTATGCCATCAGCGATACTGAGGCCGGCGCCAAGGAGCAAGGGAAAGACTTTGGCTTCGAGCGCTGCGCCGAGAAGGACGGCAGGGCCTTCGGCAGCGCCGTGCCCGACGCCCCGGAGCCGTGCCCGCGCGGCGCCGCCGACGGCACCGGCCCCTTCCCCGGCGCCAAGGACAAGGAGCCGCACGGCCAGCGGGAGGCCGTGATCCGGCCGCAGCAAGCCGGCAAGATCGACTTCAAGTCCCTCCAGAGCAAGCCCAAGTTCGCCGGCGACGGCGCCTGGAGCGGCCTCGACGGCGGCCCCCGGTCGCCGCCGGGCAAGAGCCGGGCGCGGGAGAAGAGCCGGCGCGCGGCCAAGGGCGAGCGCGGCCAGCAGCAGCAGCAGCTCTACCGGCTGAGCCTCGCCGGCGCCCGCCCCAACCCCACCATCGGCATCGCCTACCCGCAGCAGAAGGTCGCGCCGCCCAAGGAGCCGCCGGCTGCCCGCACCGGGGCCCTCGGCGGCAGCTACCGCTTCCACGTGCCCGGCGCGCCCGAGAGGGAGGCCGAGCTGCAGCACGACGAGCTCGGCTTGGGCCGGCGCTTCGCGGAGGCCGCCGCCAGCCTTACCTCCACCAACTATACCTCAGAGGCGGCCGCCGGCGCGCGCCTCGCCGCCAAGGGGCAGCCGCCCGCGGGCCTCCCCCTCAAGAGCCCCGGCCCCCATGGGCAGCTACATTACCTAGAGTTTCAGGCAAACGGGACGAACTCTTGGCCTTCGCCGGAGAAGAGCTTTCCAGGTGCTAACTACGGGGCGCCGAAGCCGAGCTCCTTGGGCGAGGGCGGCAAAGGCGGCGCCTTGGGCTCCCTGCCCTTCTCGTTCCCCTTCCAGCTGCTGCACGAGGCGGCCAAGGAGCCGTTCCGCGGAGACGCCGCCGGCCAGGAGTACGGGGAGGCGCCGCCGGCGCCCGCCGCCTTCGGCTTCGCCGCGCGCGACTGGCAGGACGAGGCGCTGAGCGGCGCCTACGAGAGCGCGCCCGCCGAGGCCCGGCTCTACGGGCTGCCCTTCCTGTCCCCGGCGCCCGTGGGCCACCACGGCGCCTACAAGGGCCGGAGCGAGCGCCCCGCTGATCTCAATGGTGCTCTCCCGTCGTCTGGTGCTATCGACCCCAACCCAAGCACTTTCCAAGAGAACCAAGCTGTTTTTCCGTCTAGTTTACACTCGCCCAGCGTGCCAAAGCCAGTCGGTAAGAGGCAAGCCTCGTCTAAAGACAGTGTCCCCAGCCCACGGCTACTGGTGCAGAGTAGCCCTCTTAGAAGGAATATGCCACCGAGCCCTCTCTCCCAAGTGCACTTTCAGAACAAAGTCTATTGCGGCTCCCCGGCGGGCAGCGCGGGCGCCGGGTCCGTGCCTTTCGACACGAGCCTTGCCACCCCACCGGCCACCCACGCCCGGCTCGGGCAGGCCTGGGACGGCACCACGAAGGCGTTCTCTCCCGCGGACCCCAACTCAGCACCTTATCCAAACCCCGTTGGAAACCAGTTCTCATTCGAGCGCCCGCCTGGCCCCGAGCAGAGGCAGCACCGGCAGAAAAGCGCCAGGGTGCCTTGGCAGCAGATGCACCTCGCTCCTGCAGCGCCCGCTCCGAACAGGATAGAGCTGGCGAGACAACTCAGCGGCCAGAAGCCCCCTTTCTCCCTCGGCACGTCGGAGTGGCAGGGGGGCGTGAAGGCCCAGCCGCTGAGCAGCTCCCCCGGGTACCACAGCAAAAAGCTCTTGGCCGGAGAGGGCCTTGGGGCTCCGCGGGGGGACCCCGGGCGGCAGGGCTGCGGTTCCACCGGCACTTTCTCGTTCGAGAGCGGAAAGGAGCCGGCGTCTGCCGCCTGTGACGCGAGGAGCAAAGCCCTCTTCTACAGCATGGGCCAAGCGGGGCCTCCTCCGGCCTCCAGGAACTCCTCCAGTTCGGCGCTGGCCTTGCCGCCATCAGCCTTGGTGGCCGCCTCACCGTGCGAGTCCCCGCTGCCTTCCCCCGTCCCCAACCCCACGTGCAGCAGCACCTGCTCCTCTCTGTCCCCCATGTCAAGCAGCCCGCTCAACCCCAGCTTTGAAGACAGCCAGATGTCTGGAGCACTTACCCCTTCTCCCTTCTTCCACCATCCCGCTCATCCCAAGGAGAGCAACAAAGCCTTCCACCCCGCCGAGGTACTGAGTTCGGGCTCGCTTCATTACCACCCCTCAGACTCTGTCAAGTCCTTCCACTTCCCTCCCGACGCCCTGAAGGACGACCCTCTCCTCAAATGCGCCCCAGAGAGCCCATTTCCCAAGCCCGGCATGGAGGTGCCCAAAGGATGCCTCGATGGTCTCGACGGGGAGCCGCCTCCGCCGCCTTATTCCTCCCATCACCTGCTGGCCACCTCGCTCAGCAGCGCCAGCCTGGACCAGCTGGACGTGCTGCTGACGTGCAAGCAGTGTGACCAGAACTACAGCAACCTCTCCTCCTTCCTGGAGCACCGGCAGTTCTGCGGCTCGCACGCCGTGCTCCCGGGCGAGCCCAAGGACATGCCGCGTGCAGGCGAGTGCAGGAAAACGCTCCCTCCGGAGCCCGCCAAGCACTCGCAGGCCGGGGGCAACCTGGCGCTTTCGCCCGAGCCCCCGGCGCATCTGATGGCGCTCAACAAAAGCGATGATTTCCTGCTGGAGGGGGAAAGCAAGAGCGAGGGCAAGGACGACGCTCTGAAGGGCAACCTCTTCAACGGCCTGACCGCGGCCCCCTTGCCGCTTACTGCCTCCGACTTGGAAATCGATGACGCCAAGCTGGACAGCCTCATCACGGAAGCCCTGAACGGCCTGGAGTACCAGTCAGATAACCCGGAGATTGACAGCAGCTTTATCGACGTGTTCGCCGATGAGGAGCTCACGGCCGTGAAGGCTGCTGGTAATGGGCTGTCTCACAAGGCAAAAGAAGCCTCCGAGAGCAAATCGAAGCACCCGGGGCCCAAGGAGAAGGCAGCAAGCCAGCCGAGGGGCAGCTGTCATTACGAAGACAGCCGTCCTGGAGGGGAGCAGGCTCGGAGGAGAGCAGGGAAGCAGCACGTCCACAAGGGGAGAGCGGCCCGGAGGTTGGGAGGCCGCGAGGCCGAGCGGCAGGAGAAGCCCCGCGTGCCGGAGCCACCTCGGAGCAAATCTCCGGATCGGGAAGCAGCCGGGGAAGAGCGACCCGACAAGGCAGCCAGGCTGAGGCTGGGGAGGAAGAACAGCGGCGGCTGCGCTCCAAGCCCAAACCAAAGGCAGCCCAGGAAGGTCAACCAAGACACTCACGCAAAGAGCGAGGTCGGGCCAAGCGTTGCCACCAAGAGCTCCAAGCCGCCGCGGTTCTCCATGAAGGACATGAAGAAGCGGAAGGCACGAAGCGGGACGTGGAGCAAGGAGCTCATTCACAAGATCGTGCAGCAGAAGAACAAGTTCCACAAGCTGCACGTGAAGAGCAACAAGCACGTGCAGTTCTCCTTGGTCACCGAGAGACTGATGCCAGCCGCCAAAGAGGGGAAATTCCAGGAGTACGACTACATTTCAGACTCGGACGACGATGGGACAGAGTGCACCAAACTCCACGGGAGGAAACGGCGGGGAGCGGGATTTATTGGGAGGTCCAAATACAGCTTTAGCAAGAAACGGCCGGGAAGAAGTGAAAGAGCCAAAGAGAAAGATCCAGCCCAAAGCTACAGCCGAAAAAGAGAGAGTCGGAGAAGAGAGATCCAGGAGCACAGGAGGGTTCCTAGTGAGGAGGCCGCCAAGAAAGACGATTGTGCGACCAGAGCCCGAAGACGGAGCAGCCAGTCGTCTCCTGGCAGCACCCACAGCATTAGCGCGTCCAGTGAACCCGGCCCCAGCCCTCGCTGTGCTCAACGGGCTGATTCAGACGGCGAGAAGGGCAGCGTGCAGGCGAGAAGGCGCTCGGATGGTTCAGAGCTCACACCGAGGACCCTTCACGAGGACAGGAGCCCCAGGGAGAGCCATAAAAGCCAAGAGGAGTTTTCAAGAGGAACCAAGCGATTTGGCTCGGCCAAATTTTTGCTAGCAGGCTCCAGGACGCATCCAAGCGCCAAGGCAGATGTTCCTCTGACAAGCTATGTGAAGGACGAGCACCTACCACAGGCCCAGGAGAAGCAGCTCCCCAGCACAGGCACATTTGGCAGGAGTCCATCTAGACCCTCCTGTAAGGACCATGCAGAAGAGCCCAAAGGAGCAGCGAGCCATGCAGGTGAGACAGGGAAACCTATTCTGGAGGCTCAGGAGTCCCCTGAGTTGGCAGTGGTCAACCACAGGCATCCGTTTGCCCCCTACACTGGCGATGCTCTGAAGTACCCTGCAGAGGAGCTAATTGCTCCATCCCACGTCAGTGGTGAAGCCAGTCCTGGCAACGTGAGTGCTGCCTACCCCGAAGCCGACGTCAAATACTTGAAGGAACGAGGGCTCTGTGACGGTCGGAAGGACTACCCGGCTCCTGTGGCCCCGTATGGGGGGGATGCTGTTGGGATGATGCTTGCAGGCAAAGTGCCCGACACCTACGTGAACAGTGACAGCACGTTTTTTGATCACAAAGACCTGCCCGGTCACTACGAGCCCAACCTCTTCTCAAAGCCCCCAGCCTTGGGTTCCTCACACACCGGGGACATGTACCTATGCCGGGATGACATTAGTAGCGGCTCCTTCGAGCAGAAGCACGCCGATATCTCCCCCTACGCAGCAGAAAATCCCCAGGCCAAGGTCTCCTCCCCTCTCAGCTTTGATTCCTCTTCGATATTTGGAGAACTCCCCGTCACCGAGTTTGATCCGCCGTTGTACGAAGGCGTTTCCGCAAGCAAGGACACTTACGTGACCACATTTGCCTGCCCGGGCAACGCACCCAGCAAGTCGCTGCCGTTTGGGCAGCCGTATGCGCCGTTTATGCAGGAGAAAGACTGGACCCTCATGGAGGAGGTGGCCCCGATGCTGCCAGAAGACGTGACTCAGTTCCACAACCTCTCAACGGAGAAGCCCTTGGCCAAGAAATTCCCTGACGAAGGAGCTGGCCCTCCCAACCAACTGTCTCTGCCGCTGTCCGACAGGATAACGGATTATAACGTGACTTTCATGAACAATATATCAGATGACGAGCTGGAGATCAAGCGGTTGGTTACGGAACTGGAAAGCCAGCTGCAGACGGGCAAAATGAATAACGAGGCGCCTGCTGCTCTCCAGAAACCGGAGCAACACGTTGCTGCACAGCTCCGAGAACGGGCGCCCGAGCAGTTTCCAGCCCTGCCTGTGGATCAAGAGCCTGGTCATGAGAAAGGGCTGTTTTTGGCAGGTGACCTCGGGAGTCCAAGCCTTCTAGCCACGAAAACCTGTGCTGGAGAAAGGCTGGGGAGTGAGAAACCAGGTGTTAGCAATGAGCACGGCACCTATGAGAGACCCAGGGAGGCCTGGTCCTGCCCCGTGGAGTTCGGCTCGCTGGAAGCAGGGATGTGCACGCCAGGCTCTGAGGACTCCCTCTCCGTGGACCCTTTCTGCTCCAAAGATGCCAGGGATCAATTCCAGGGAGCCGAAACGGCCAAAGAAAGTGATTCCAGAAAGAGGGAACGAGAGTCCTCCTCGCAGGGTCTGCCTGCCTCGCAGACGGACAAAATAGAGGCTCCGATCTATACAGAGCATATGACTAAAACCCCTCGGGTTGTCACTGAGCCCTTGTTCCCTAAGACTCTAGAGGCAGCTGAACCAAACAAAGAAGATATTCTACCGTCCCTGCCGTGTAAACCTGGTGCTGAGAACTTCCCCGTGGCTGGAAAAACAGCTAAAAACTTCGATGATTCCGCAGAGCTGGAGAAGTTTGATACCCACCTTCCAAACCTTAAGCCTGAGTTTGCCTTTGAGCAGGCGCCGGCCCCAGCCTTAGATCTCGCCTTTTCTTCTTGCATCAAAGAAGTCCCAGACACAGAAGAAAGACCTTTAAGCGAGTCCGAGTCCCCCCGGATGGGGAAAAGCGCGGGGTCCTTTGGTGGGGATAGCGGTGGGCAGGTATCGCTGGAAGAAACGGAGGACAAGAGCGCTGCAACCTACCCAGCCCCTGCGGCCGGGGACAAAGCCAGCAAGCAAAAAGTGCTCTTGCTCGACATGCTGAGTCTGCCCAAGGAGAGGGACGGTGGCTCTCAGAAGAGGGTGGCCTCCCCGGAGGCTGCTGCAAACCCGCTGCAGCAGCTGCAGCTCTTCGTGGCCCGGACCGTGAAGAACAACGAGGAGGAGCTGTTGCTGCCGTGCTTCCCTGGGCTTCTTGCTCCCAACCAGGCGCCTCCCGGGGCCAGGGTGCAGCCCGAGCGGAGCGATGACAATGCACAAGGTGACAATGGGACGTGCTGCCCTGCGCGTGAGGAGGGGGATGTCCCCGTTGGAGGCGAGGCGGAGGGCATAGGGACCCCTTCGAAAGAGCCTGCAGTCTTCTCGGGTGAGCCGGGACCGTTCGGTGAAATGGACTCCTACCGTGCAAAACAATCCACATTTGTGAACCTGGAGCTGCAAAATAACGTCACGGAGCCGCAGCACATGGCAAGTGAACGCGCGGAGCAGGGTGACATTAATATCCGTGCAGATGGTGTTTCCCAAGAGCATAGTGACCTCTCACCGCTTCGCAACGCGGCGGTGACCCCATTGCCAGGGCAGGGAAAGAAAGCCGATCAGCTTGTAGGAGAGCGGGAGCAAGATAAAAACGAAGCGACCTTGGCATTTAAAAAACATGAGGCATCCCTTTTAAGCCACAGTTCACTTGAGAAAGAGGCGTTGGGCAGCGCGGCAGCAGAGAGGCTGGAAAAAAGTGAGGGCGAATGCAGATCCTGGCGTGAGGCATCTAAGCAGGATGCACAGGTGTTAGGCTCCGTAAAAACCAAACGGATCAGATCTGGGAATCATCAAGCAGGGCATGGGGCACAGCCCCTGTGCGGTGCATCTGGGAGCCCTGCCAGCCCGCTGGATCCCTCAGGTGATCTCCACCAGGATCATCGTTTGCTGCAGGACACGAAAGCCTGCCCAGTAAACGCTAAGGTTCCCGAAGAAGGGAACGGCAAGAGAACGTCTCTCGGGGGCTGTCACTGCGCGAGTGAGTCGCTGGCCGGCCCGCCCTCGCCAACAAACTTGCCTCAGTCTCAACACTTGCAAAGCGATGGTGCTGAAGGAGGAGAGATGCCCAGCTTCAGTGCGCGCCCGGCTGGGGACAATAAATATAGTGCCTCCTTGCTCGGTGCGGAGGCTTCTTCGAGTGCCTTCATCACCAAGAGCCGCCCTCCTGACACCGACAGCAGTCAAATGTGCCACCCCTCGGCGAGCCCAGCGGAGCAAGCCAAGTGGAGAGGAGCTCCCGCCTTTGCCCTCGCCCTGCATCCCTGTGGAGCCAGCGTTCCCGCGCCGCTGGAGGCCGTGGGGAGCAGCCACCACCACCTGAGTAGCTACGGAGCCCCTGGAAGAGAAGGACAGGCAAGACCCCGTGCTGCTCTGCGTGCTGGTGATCTGATGGGCTCTGCTTTGGAGATCGAAGCTCCCCAGAAACCGCGTGTGAAGGACTGCTCGCTTGCCTGCTTGCCGCCTTTCAACCCACGCGATGTTGGGAAGGAGGTACCAGGTAGCCCATGCGCTGTATCAGGGCCTCACTTTAAAGAAAGCCAGGCACAAACCGTTGCAGATACAATTGCTAATTCCCAGCCCTGTCCTCCAGAAACCCAAGGTTACCCAGCGCTGCCCATGACGGATCTCCTGCTGATTAGAGAGGGAGAGGTGAACTTGCATCAGAAAGAGCTTGAGAACTGCTCTCCAGGTGAAAGTAGCCCTCAGAACGAAGCAGAGGCTCTGCCCAGTGGTTCGGTTGCTCAGCAGATACCACCCGCTCTCAGCAGCAGTCCTCAAAGGATTGCAGAGCTCAGTCCCGCTAAACTCCATTCCCACCACTGTTCAGACGCAGCAGAGGGGAGATCTGGTGATCCTTCCAGAACTATGGAGAATGGAGGAAAGAATGTGAAAGGTGAGAAAACCCCAAACCATGGGGCTGAGCATGGTGGAGATGCTGGGACTTGCGTGCTGAGTAACATGTGTCAAGGAAAGGACAGCGTGTTCACTGGTCTTCCAAACGCCTCCCAAAATGAACTTCTGAAGGAAAAGAAGCCCAGTGGGCTCCAGGTCACCTGTGATATTTGCTCAGCCTCTTTCCGGTCCAAGCCTGGCCTGACCAGGCACAAAGCTGTCAAGCATCAGATAAAGAATAGCAGCATATCACAGGCAAGCAAACCTCCCGAGTCAGATTTAGTTCTGGTAGACAAAGCATCAAACGTGGCCAAAAAGGTCCCTAGAAGGACCCTAAAAACTTGTGTCAAAGAGAAAATCTGCAGCTCTCAAATGCCAGATGCTGCTGTTGAGTACAGCCCCAAGAAAATAGGCCCAGGCCTGGAGAAAGAACCCAGCGCTCAGATGCAAGCAGTAGTCAGCAGGGTGCTCAGTGACCTCAGCGTTATATCCCTGGAGATGTCCCAGGAGCTCCTTCGCACAGGCATTCTGAACAGAGGGATGGAGGCGAAGGATCAGAGCTCGGAGACGAGGGGAGCAGGTGAGGAGGAGGCTGAGCACCCTGGAAAGCAAGCCAGGAAGGGGGAAAAGGGCAGAAGGAACCAAAGCAAAGATGCTGCAGGAGTCAACAGCAATCCTGACAGAAAGCTGAACAGGAAGGTGGGACGAAAGAAAGCAAAGGCGTTTCCCGACAGGAACGAGCCTGGTGGTTCCTCTGAGCTGGAGAGTCATGTGAATTCGGGTCCCTCCCCTGCGGACCTCAGCAGTGTCAGCTCCAGCCTGGCCACCGCGATCGAGGGTTTGCAGGAGCCAGGCAGCTGCAGCTCAACAGAGGAACGAAATCAGCCCACCTCATTGCAGCACTCTCAGAGAGCGAGACAGTGCCCTTGTGCAGTAGAGGACCCGGGCAGTAGGATGGAGTCCTCAAAGGAGATGGTGGGGAAGGAGTCAGCAAAGGGCACGGTCGCTTGTCCTGCAGAGGTGGGAGATTCAAGTGGAGTGGAAAACGCAGAGGCTTGCAAGGAATGGGTTGCGAAGCAAGTGGAGAAGGGAATGGGTAAGGTAGGCAAGGAATGGCCTCTCCGTGGTGAGGGCACAGGTGACATGGATACGGAGACAAAAGACAGTTGTGCGGGAAAGAGCCGTGCTGGGAATCAGAGCAGTGTCCCGCAAAGTCCCACAGGTTCTGCTGAAGAAAAGCAGGGTCTGGAAACCACCCAGAAGGCTCCCGCGCAAAGCACAATGCAGGACAGCCGTGGTGCCAGCCCTCCCCATGGAGACACCAAGCGCTGGGTGAAGGGAGACGTGCAGCAGGGCCAAGAGCACTGCGTGGACAGCGCGGCTGTCGCCGGCCTCCAGAGCCTGTTGGATGATGACTCCACCTTCTCCCAGCTGTTCCCACGGGACGAGCAGTTCGTCCGGAGGAAGTGCACACGTGTGTATGGGAAGCGCACCAAGAAACCCAAGCCTGTCACCGAGGCAAACATCCGCCCGGCGGGCGCCGTTGACCTCTTCACCATCCGCTTAGCTTCTGACCTCAGTGAAACCAGCTCTTTCTGTGTCACCAGGGAGGACCCTTGTGAGTACGAAACCATTTCTATTGACGATGCCTTAATGCTAAACATGTGTCACAGCAGCAAGGCGAACAGCGGAGAAGCTGCTCCCAGCGGAGCTAAAAATACTGCGCTGAGGTCGGACTGTGAGAAGATCAACCAAGAGAAGGAGGTCATTGACCTGGAAGATAACAACGTGCTAAACTTCTTGTGCCAAGACAGCCAAGTGGAAAGCGTCCCCAGCTTGAACCTTTGGGGCTGTCTGGAGAAGGAGGGAGAAAGCCTCTCCGCGGAGGAAATGTTTGAGGCTCCCGTGGACCTTGAGAACGAACACTCGCTAGGAGAAACGAGCTCAGAACCTCCCGACCTGGCAGAGGAGCCCTTCAATGACAAGGCGAGCGAGGAAGATTCGGACTCCCCCGAGTTCCATACAATCGACATTGAGATGCTGAATGCAAAGCTCAAAATGAGAGATGTGTGTTTCTTCGGCCCTTGTGAAGATCTTCCTGGCCGTGCTGACGAAGATGCCATGAGTTTCAAGCAGAAGCCGGGTCAGCACAGCAAACACAGCAGACACAGGCTGGAAGATGGGAAGCTGGGGAAAAACCGCAGTGAGGTGAACATCAAGACCAAAGACAAGCAGTATAAATGCAAAGTGTGCTTCCAGTGGTTCCTCACCTTGGGGGAACTGGACTTCCACAAGCTCAGCCATAACCCTTCCCCTCCTCCGACCTGCTACATGTGTGTCCAGCGCAAGTTCAGCTCTCGGGAGCAGCTGAGGGACCACCTGAAAGAGAAGCATGCCAAGAACAAGGCGGGCCTGTGGGCTTGCGGGATGTGCCTGAAGGAGATTTCCGACGTCTGGATGTACAACGAGCACCTCCGGGAACACGCCACCCAGTTTGCCCGGAAAGGGCAAGCGCAGAAGTCCGTGATGGGCCTGCCTGCCTGCTTTGGTGAGGACAACGCCGCTGTCACCCACTTCCTCAACACCATCATGTATCGGAGAGCCAGCAAGTCCTCCAGGCACGCTGACTCCGACAACAGGCACTCAGGTAGCAGAGAGAACAGGAGCCCCAAGGAGCTGCCCCTTGAGCAGGAGGCCCTGCCGATGAAAGACCCCTTGGAAAGCAACGTCAAGGTCAAGCCGTCTCCACCCAGCTCTTCCAAAGCGTGTGCCAGTCCATCTCCTGAGCACATGGCAAAAAGCGAAAGCTCCCCCAAAAGCGTCCCCATGCACCCAGACTGCAAGGATCCTTCCAGAGACTGTCATCACTGTGGGAAGCAGTTTCCCAAACCCTTCAAGCTCCAGCGGCACTTAGTAGTGCACAGTTTACAGAAGATTTACCTGTGCCACAAGTGTCCGATGTTCTACCAGGAGACCAAAGAGCTTCGAAACCACCTCAGCCAGGAGCACGGGATCGTGGAGGAGCAAGAGATCAAGCACACCACCCTGTATGCATGCGAGCTCTGCGCCGACGTCATGCACGTTATCAAGAAGTCCTTCATATGCAGCATGTGCAACTACACGTTCTCCAAGAAAGAGCAGTATGACCGGCACATGGAGAAGCACCTCGCAGGAAGCAACAAGACCTTCAAATTCAGAGGGGTCATGAGGCCTGGCGTTGCCTCCAGAGAGGGCAGGGAGAAGGTTAAAGAGGAAGGCTCCCTCGTGGAGCCACCGAGCAAGAAAAGAAAGGTTGTTCATCAGAGCAGCTCACTGCCACGTAGCTCTCCTGTGCCTCACCTGGACCATGCGGGTGACCTGCACATGGCAGAGGCTGCAAGTCCCAGGCTGCAGGCTCCTAGTGAGTCTTTCCCTCTAGCAGCTAGGGAGCCAGGAGCACCTCTACCCCAAACCCCTCTGAAAACAGAAGACCTGGTGGGTGATTTCTCTGACCTCCTTGCCGAGATGGAGACATCTCAGTTTGACGCCCTGCCTCCGCCGCCCTGCCTCTCCCCGTCTTTGCCACCGGCCACCGCAGGCAGTTCCGAGCTCGGCCGTGTCACCCCCTTGTCCATCGAGGAACTGGAGAAAGGAGCTTTTGATGGGAAACCCCTTCCTTTCTTGGACTCACCTGAGTTTAATATTGACCTGGCTGGGTTAGCCTGTAACCAGGTAGCGGATGAAAAACGGTCTCCTCCACGTCTGACCGAGAAAGGTGGCAATGCCAATGCCCATAAAAAAGTGAACTTAGGCAACAAAGATGAATATGTAACGGGCATCCTGGAAAATCCCAATGCAACCACCAGCCCTGGGAGCGAGGCCCCGTTTCTTCAGCTCGCCAAGAAGGTCCCGTCACCAAGAGCAGAGGTTCCTCAGGCCAAAGAGACCAACAAAACGCTGTGGAGCAACCCCAGTGCAAACGATGGCCCTTCTTGGGAAGGAGCATCTAAGGGCACTTCTTCTGAGGCTGCCCACCCCACCATGAAGGACAAGGCGACGTCGCCTGTGCTGAACAAGGCTCCCAAAGAGTTGACCATGCAGAAGAAAGCTGGAGGTAGCCAGGCCAGCAGCGACACCTCTCCCAACGTCGTTAGCCCCGGCAGGAGCGCCGAGGAGAGCCCAAAATCCAGCGTGCCCAAGGAAAAGGCTGTGCCCGAGGCCAAGGAGAGCGGCGCTAACGCCAGCAGCAAGGAACACGGCGCCCACCCGGGCAAGTCCAGCGGCCACCACCTCAAAGGCGAGGCGGCCAGCAACGCCGTGCGACACGTGGACAAGGCGGCCCTGAGCGTGCCGGGCAAGCTGCACCCAAAGAAGCGGAAAGAGCACAAGTCCCTGAGCCACCGGGGCAGCTCCGGCTCCCGGGAGAACGTCGAGGGAGACGGGAAGAAGAAGAAAGCGCGGGCGCCGGGTCCGGGCAGGAGCGAGAGCACCGGCGAGCTCAAACACGCCGACTGGGCCAACGCCGAAGCTTCTGCCCTGTCCCCGGGCCGGAGGGAAACGCACTGCAACAGGCTGATCCCCAAGCCCAGGACGGCAGGGGTGGGCAACCAGCTGAAGAAGATGGTCCTGGACACCTACAACCACAAGAAGGCGGAGATGCGTCCCGCCAACGGCGACGTGAAGCGCGGGAAGGCCATCCTGGGCAAGAGCTTCCAGCAGGTGCTGGCCAAGGGGCCGGCGGCGCGCGGCGCCTTGCACGGGGCGCGCGGCACGCGGGGCGCCAAGGCCGCCGAGCCCGCGAGCTTCCGCACGGCCGAGTCGCAGAACCATCTGCTAAGCCAGCTCTTCGGGCAGAAATTAACGAGCTTCAAAATTCCTTTAAGGAGAGATACTTCGGAGTAATTTATGGAAGTGACTTACGGTGATCCTCAGCTGCTTTCATGGGGTTTGCAAGGGGGAAATTATCAAAGCATTAAATTCGTTTGTGTAGCACGATTTCTCTGTCTAGCTTAAATGAACTTGCACTGCAGCCTCTGTGAAATAGTTTGCTTTGTGTCTACTAATCTACTTTAATTCACCTGATTTATCATGCAAATGCTAGAACTTTGATGTTGCTGATGATTTTCATGAACTGAAATTGTAATCGCTTTGGGCAGGCTGAATCGTCGAGAGCAATTGCTTTATTGCAGAAGTGCTGAGGTTATAAGGATACTTGCAAATCTCAGACCCTTTTGAGACTGTGTCTGTGTTATCTTTGTACAAAGTACTTGAAGAGATGAACTTCATTCCGTAGACGTCTTATTCATAAGGTGCAGTACACTGTAGAAAGCAAATTTTTTTTTTTTTGAAGATTTTGCACAAATAATCCTGTACAATTCATTTAATTGGGAGCCAGCCTAAGAGATGATACAATTTGAAAAAAAAAATTAAATTAAGAAGCGAGTGGCCCATATTTTGACAGCCATCCCTAGGAATTTGTTTCTACATTGTCAAGCGAATACCGAGCCAGCTTTGATGCTGCGTGGGCTATTCGAGCGTTCCCGACGTTGCTGCCGTTCTTTGACCACTGATGTAAAGGGAGGAAAGCCAAGAGCGCGAGCAAACTGCACCTTGACACTTGTGACAAACTCTTTTTGTAGTTTTTTTTTTTTAATTATTATTATTATTTTGTCTTTTTGGTTGGTTTGTTTCGTTTTTGTTTTGCGCAATGACAAAACTGTGCCAAGTTACCACACCAGAACGGTACTGTCCGAGTGCCCTCAACGGTATAACTTCTCACCTATCTTACTGTATTGAGTTAGTGGCTATATAGGTATCCGCTTTTTACTATGCAGTTACTGGTGCTATTTTTATTTTGTAATGTGAATACAGACTTCCTTGATTGAAAAAATAAATAAATAAAGGGAACCGATAGGAAGTAGCAGTTGCCTGTAAAAGAAAACAAAGCAGGAGAAAACAAAAAATCCAACTTTAAGGTAAAAATCCCGTATGCTGGTACTCCATAGCGTTGGAAAGGTGACGTCACGTTATACAAGCACGTTATACAACCGAACTTTCGAACCGGAAAGAAATCTCAGGTGCAAACGAGGACATGGAAGATAACTAAATACTATTGAATACTCCCACGTCAAGGAGGTGAAGTAATGCACTGATGTGATATGAACAGTCAGAGTACTTTGCGTCTGTCCTGCAATTTTTTTTTTTGTTTTGGATTTAAAAGGAAAAAAAAAAAAGAGGCTTTATTCTGTTAATATGTATCTTTACAAACCTTTGTATTGTATAAAAATATTGTAGGTAATTTACCTTGGGTGCAATGTGTTATGTCAGAAGTTTTTATTTTGTTATTTTGTCAGAGAAGCAGAGAGAGAGCAGGAAACGCCTTTTTATGATGTCGTATGTGTGCTTTTAAAGTGCCTCTTTAATATTGTTAAATAAAGTATGAGATGAAAATATGGGGTGGTACTGTAAAATCATACATGATTAATCTTTTCAAATATATTCCAATATTTTCACAGAAACTGCCTGTCTGCGTCTGGTGTTGGTGGGTCGGGGGCATCGTCCCCGTGCCGAGCTCCGTGCTTGGCTCGAGCTGTGCTGTCATTTTTCCCCCAGGAACAATTCGATGCGGCTCCCGGAGGCTGTATGCCACGCTACCATCAATAGTAACTGCAATAATTGTAATAATAATTGCAAATTGCAGGACCTTCAGCTGCGTTTCATGTTTTAAGGTGTTTCCCGGGCGTTTCATGTTTTGGGGTGTTTCCCGGCCAGCCTTGCCCCAGGCCATGGTTCTGTGCTGCCAATGCTCAGACCCAAAGCCTGCCTTTCTTGCAGCTTTCTCCTCATTTTGGGGACCTCGGCTCTCCCTGCCAGCTCCGCTATGGCCAGGTCATTGCCCAGACGGTGCCAGCTCCCCCTGGCTCCCAGAGGTCCCCGATCCAAAGGAGCATTCCCAGCAGGAGCCCAGGGCTGAGCGCTGGGGCTGCATGTTGGAGACTCTCTGCTGCTGGAATTCGCTGGAGCCGCTCAGGTGATGCTGTGTGCAAAGGAGAAGGGCAGCAGAGCTGCACGAGAGCCAAGGGCTGGCGGCTGCCCAGGAGCATCGGCTGCACCGGCAGCCACGGTGCAACACAGCACAACGCAATGCAACACAATGCAACACAACTCAATGCAACACAACACAACACAATGCAACGCAACAACGCAACAACGCAATGCAACGCAATGCAACACAACTCAATTCAACACAACACAATGCAACACAACAACGTAACACAACGCAATGCAACGCAATGCAACACAACTCAATGCAACACAACTCAATGCAACACAACACAACGCAACAATGCAATGTAACACAACACAATGCAACACAACATAATGCAACGCAATGCAATGCAACGCAACACAATGCAGCACAACACAACGCAACGCAATGCAACACAAGGGAACGCAACACAATGCAACGCAACACAACACAATGCAATGCAACACAATGCAACACAACTCAATTCAACACAACACAATGCAACGCAACAACGCAATGCAGTGCAATGCAACACAACTCAATGCAACACAACTCAATGCAACACAACGCAACAATGTAACACAACACAATGCAACACAATGCAATGCAACGCAACACAATGCAGCACAACACAACGCAATGCAACACAACACGATGCAACACAACACAAGGCAATGGAACACAACGCAATGCAACACAACACAATGCAATGAAACAAAGCAACGCTATGCAACACAACAACGCAATGCAACTCAACACAACACAACGCAACACAAGGCAACGCAACACAACACAATGCATTGTAGTGCAATGGAACACAGTGCAACGCAACAAAACAATGCAATGCAATGCAACACAACGCAATGCAAGGCAATACAGCACAATGCAATGCAGTGCTGCGCCATGCAACACGCTGCAGTGCAGTGCAATTCAATGCAAAACTGCAAGAACTGCCAAACCCAAGAACAACTCGTGCAACTCAGTGTTTCATGGGGCCTATGAGCTATCTGGAGAGCTGTTTTTTTCAGGACCCTTCTGTCCTATGCCGTGGATTTTGCTCCTGGCTCTGAGCGGGCCAGGCAGCACCACCAATAATTAGCTTGGTTCCTATAGAGAGGCTGGGCTGCATTTCAAGCACATGCAGCCAGGAAGGGGCATCTCACCCAGGAGAAAGGCCCCGACGTGGCACCATTTGGGCATCCCCAGCTCGTCCTCGAGGTGACCTCTGCAGCCCCACGCCGAGGTCCGGATGCTGCCACAAAGCAGGGCATATTATATTCTTTAATTACTGTTGCACTCATAACATTTAAACACTGTCAATGAGAGATAGCTCATAACCGCAGGCTAGAATCCTTGCCACTTGGGGCTTGTAACTAAAACTGCAGGATTAATTTGATTAATTGATAGAATTATTTTCCAAACTACTCTTTTGTTTATGGAGGCTTAAAATGCTTGCCGCCTGCACCCTCCTGGTGTGTTGCAGAGTGGAGATAAAGCGGCTGAAAATAATTAGTATGGCTTAATTTAGGGAAAAAAAATAACCTCAAAAGAATTTTGTAGAAAATTTAAAGCAGCACATTTTACTTCGCTTTGGCAGGAAATATTATGGGGTTGGAAATGGGACTTTTATGTTGTGTCGCGACGATATTTCACGCGGGCCGCGAGCCGCCTGGAGTCAGGGGTATTTCATGCCTGCTGCGGCTCCCTTTTTTTTTCCCCTTTCACCTCCGGATTTATTTCCTGGCAAGGAAAATGATGCCGGCTTCGGCTGCAGGGTGTGGGAGCAGCACGGAGCTCCTGCTGCGGGCAGGGAGGGGACACGGCTCCGTGTCCCGGCCATCGCGGTCCCCCACTCTGCCCGCATCCGCGGGGTGATCTCTAAATTAAGAAAGGGTTTTTTGGTCTTTTTCTTTTAAATTCTTTTTTTTTTCTTGCTTTCCACCTTCGCCTGCCTGCTCCCAGCCTGCCTGTCCCTGTCCATCCTTGCATCCTCATCTGCATTGGACACTCAGGAGATCACAGCGTAATTCCGCGGAGAAGGGCAAAGCCGGGATGCGTCTCCAGCCCCGGGATTAACGGATAGTGGCAGGGAAGGCTGCAGGGGGCCGATCCCTGGCTTGGTGCCATTCCCAGCAGGAAGGCTGCTGGGATGCTCCATGGCTGGCGGATGCTGCAAGGATGCCCCAAAAGGCCCAATTTTGCTCCATAACCACGCTGCAGAGGCCAACGGGAGCCAATTTTTTTGCAAAAAAATAAAACAAGCTGCTAAATTCACTTTTTTTGCAGCTGAAATTTGGCATTTCTGTAGTGCCAGCAGGGCCACAGCAGCAACGCCTGCTCTTTGCACCAGCCTGGCACGCGGCGCCCGCGGTCGCCAGCATCCCTGTGGGCACCCGCGGTGTCTCCGGCGCTGCCTTGCCCGTTCCCATTTGCATTCCCCACCGGCATCCCCGCACCAGGCTAATATCGCCGCGGATTAATTGGCGCTAATGCGGCCGCGCGGCTCCGCGCGGAGATGTCACCCGCTCACAATGGGCGCAGCGGCGGCTCCCGCATTATCTCCGCGCTGCAGGCACCTCCGGAAAAACGCGCCGTTTATCCCGGTATCCTGCAAGGAGCGCTCTGCAAACCCGGGGGAAGGGGCACCCAGGTGGCACGTGCAAGGGGGGAGTCACTAGGAGGGGAAATTTGGGGTGGCGGGCGAGGAGGAGCCTTTGCTGCCGCGATGCTGCAGGGGCTGGTGGGGGACCCGGCCCCGCTTTCGGCATCTCTCCAACACAAGGGTTTTCCAGGCTTGTTGTTCCCAGATGGAGTCACTCCGGGTGACGCTCTGCTTGGCAAATGCGTTGGAGCACTGGGAGTCTCTGGAATGGGA